TCCTCAAAATGCAAAAGGAACCGCTCCTGCCCAGGTCCACAGCTGTGTGGCTCTCAAACTAAAGTAAGAACTGTTCCTGCCCAGATCTGCAGCTGCGTGGCCCTCAAACTACAAAAAAGAACGGCTCCTGCCCAGGTCCCCAGCTGTGTAGCCCTCAAACTAAAGTAAGAATTGCTCCTGAGGAGGTCTGCAACTGCACCACCCCAAACTAAAGTAAGAACCACTCCTGCCGTGGTCTCAAGCTCTGCGACCCTGAAACTGAAGTAAGAACACCTCCTGCTGATGTCTGCAGCTGTGAGAGCCTCAAACTAAAGTAAGAACAGCTCCTGTCAACTCTCCAGCTGCACAACCCACAAACTAAAGTAAGAACCGCTCTTGCTGAGGTGTCCAGCTGGGCAACCCTCAAACTAAATAAGAACAGCCCCTGTTCATGTCTGCAGCTGTGTAACCCTCAAACTAAAAAGACAAAGACAACAGCTTCTGTTTGGATCTGCAGTTGTGCGACCCTCAAACTAAAGAAAGAAAAACTCCTGCCTGGGTCTCCATGTCTATGACACTCTAACTAGAAAAACACATGCTTTTTTACCAGGCAGAGTCTGGTGTTTTTCTAGTTTGAAGGTCGTGCAGCTGGAGACCTGGGCAGGACCTGGTGTTTTCCTAGTTGAGGGTTGTGCAGCTGGAGATCTATGCAGGACCTCGTGATTTTCAAGTTTGAAGGTCGTGCTTCTGGAGATGTGGGTGGGAGCTGATGTTTTCTGGTTGAGGGTCATGCAGCTGGAGACCTGGATGGAAGCTGGAAATTTTCTAGTTGAGGGTCGTGCAGCTGGAGACCTGGGTAGGAGCTGGTGTTTTTCTAGTAGAGGGTCATGGAGCTGGAGACCCAGGCAGGAGCTGGTGCACGGCCAGCTTCAGGACCCTCAAAGTAGAAAACACCAGCTCCTCCTGGATCTCCATCTGCACAGCCCTCAAACTGGAAAACAGCTCCTCCTGGGTCTCCACCTCCACGACCCTCAGGCTTAAACAACAGCAGCCCCAGCTCCTCCTGGGTCTCCACCTCCACGACCCTCAGGCTTAAACAACAGCAGCCCCAGCTCCTCCTGGGTCTCCACCTCCACGACCCTTAGGCTTAAACAACAGCAGCCCCAGCTCCTCCTGGGTCTCCACCTCCACGACCCTCAGGCTTAAACAACAGCAGCCCCAGCTCCTCCTGAATCTCCAGCTTCACGACCCTCCTGAACAATCTCTTCTCATGAAATTCAACAGTCAACAAAGCCACAGCAGAAGTAAATGAATAAATGTTTTGCTTTCAAATTGATGTCTCTTTTATGTTCTTGCAAGTCGGTTAACTTTTCTACTTTCCGTGAACTTTGCAATCTACTTCTAATGTCAGATAGAAATACACTATTTGAAATGATGTTTAAAAACTTAGTAATATTTTTAATATGATCTTATCACACAGCTGTAGAAAGAATCTTCTTTCTCTCTCTGTGTGTTAAAGTCTTATGAACATTCAAACTATGAATTTACTTTGTTGAGGTTCCCAGAATACACATTAACCCCAAATGCGACTCCCCTCCTTAAAATCTTTCAGCTTGTTTCCATTACCCGAGCATAAATGCCAGCTCCAATCACAGCCCACCGTGTCCAGCACTGCCCTGCCCTCTGCCCTGGCTTCGTGGTCTCCCTTTGCTGTTGATCCTTTTCTGCGGGACAGGCCTCTGTCGGTTCCTCAAACTACAAAGGCTCAGGCCTGACTCTGAGCCTCTGCCCCTCTGTGCCCTCTGCCTGGATGCCTTTCCCCGGCTCACCATCCTCCTCTCGGCCTGCTCAGCTCCAGCCTGCTTGTTGCCCTTCAGGTTGACAAACACACGGTGTTCTCCCACCCCTGGGCCTTTGCACAGGCTATTCTCTGTGCCAGAAACACTTCCCCACTCACCACCTGGGTTTCCTTTTCTAATCACCATTCATCCTTGGTGTCTCCACTGAAATATCGATCCCTGACTGCCCCCTCCCTTGGGCTTAACTTTGGTTAGGTTGCCAACCTCTGTCTCCTGACTCCAGGAAGCCAGACGCTATCCCAGCACTCAGAACTTCCACACTGCCACGTTTTGCACACCCATAATTATTCTATTAGGTTGGTGCAGAGGTCATCTCATTTTAATGAACTTCAGCACTGGCTCCTCCCAACTTTTTTTTTGGCCATTGCTATAAATGGCAAAAACTGCAATGACTGCTGCACCAACCAATAGAATAATTTATATTTATCCATCCATCCTCTGTCTTCCCCTCTGGAAAGGACGCTCCTTAAGAACAGGGAGCAAATCTACTCAAATCACTCCACCTCCCCAGCATATTGTCAATAATTATTTCTTGCCTCACTGAGAGAAATACCTTCATTGTTGCTGGGATGAGGCACATCACAGGACCACCCCCTTTTGAAAGTCAGTGTCACGGACGGTTAGCGTTTGCTTTTCACTCCTGCACCCATGGCTTGGCTGAGCTTAGACTGATCTAGTCTGGGCTTGGCTCCAGGCTGAGGGTTAGAACAACGTGTGCTCCACATGCCTCTCCTCCTGCAGCCCAGTTCCCTGGGGCACATGCCTTTTGTGGGAAAAATCAAGAGCATTAGAGGGCAGGCTTGGCAGGGCCCACATGGTTCAGGCTTCTGCTTGTGCCATGTTGGTTAAAGTCTCATTGGGGTAAGCAAGTTGCCTAGCCATGAGCAACACCTCTGGGATGGATAAGTCCATCCACCCTCCCTTAGGCCCTGGCAAAGATGTGGATGTGTCATGCTCTTACGGGGGTGGGGGAGGTGAAATATTGAGGCCCACTGATGAGAAAGATGTAAGGCACAGGGTAAGTTGGCACACCTCCAAAGCAAGGACTGTTAGAGCTCTAGACTCTTGATCAGATCTGAGTTTCTCATTAATGTGTCACTTGAATTGAGCTGTAGAATCTTGAAAATAGTGTTCCTTACTCAGCAGACAAATCCCCACCCATACCCACACATATATTGGGGCCCTCAGCCTGAGGTCTCCATCCAGCCTTATGTAAGGGTCATGGTACAGATCAGATCCATGACACACAATTACAATAGGAAGAAGTGAAAGTTATTATTATTTTTTATTGTTCATATATTATCAAGCAGGCATTGGTGACCTGTGGAATTAGAAGTACCCAGCAGACATTTCCAAGGGGTCACAAGTCAACAGATCTAAACTATATTGATCTTCCCTTAGATTGTTTTCTACTGAGGTGAATAGCTCAAAAGACAAGGATGCCTTTAGTCTAGGCTAACCCCTGTAGCCTCTATGCAATTAACACAGGAAGAAAGGCCCTCCTCCCTTCCACCACTGGGGCTCAACAGTGGACTGAGCATTTGGTAGTGTACATTTCCAATCTTAATAGAGCAAAGCCAGGCTTCTGCTTTGATGACTGAGGTAGAGGGACAGGAGTAGTCCAAGGTTCTAAGACCACTCATGTTCTGTTTCTGTTTTTTTCCAGACTTCTATGCTATTGTCTACCCTAGGCCGTAGGGAATGCTGGTTAGTTTGCTGAACAGACACTCTGTTCCGCAGGTTTTGTGGTATCTCAAATCCCAAGTCTCAGCCAAACCTTTGCAGTCCACCCTGACTCCAGGGAATAGGGCCTCCTTTCGAGGTGAGGCACTTGGGTTCTTGCCTTTCCAGTGAGGGCTGTTTCCTCCTACTTCTATAAGCATTGCACTGCCAGCTGAGAGCACTGACTCAGGCGGGGCAGCCTTACTGAGCAAGCGGGAGCATTCAGCATGCTCTCTGGTCCTGACCCAGACAGAGGGGACTGAAAACAAACCCTCTTTTGCTCTGTGGCTGGCTCATTGGCTCAACATGAGCGCTTGGCTTGGCCATGCCCCCTGAGAGAGGGGGAGAAAGGGGCTCCGGGCCAGAGAGGTTTCTGGGAGGGGTTACTAGCCTTGTCTTACGCCATCAGTGTGGCAGAGGAGCACAGGGTGTAGGTGGAGACACGCCGGAGGCCACGTGAAAGTGGCAGCCAGCTCTACTTTCTAAAGAGAAGCAGTGTTTCAGTGACCCTGAGCATTCTGTCTGCAGGAGGGAGCTGCCTGGACAGCAAGTCATCACCACCTCTAAATACACACAAAGGAGGCTGCCCATCCAGGGAAAGAAAACGTTCAGGGAAGAGAAAGATATGCTAAGAGAAAAGGGACAGACAGGGTAGAGCCAGGAATCAAGAATCAGGATAGTGAAGAGATTCCTAACCCTGCCCCAACAGGCAGTTCCAATTCATTAGGCTAGATGTTAACAGAGCAAAAAAAAAAAAAAAAAAAAAGTGAAGGGGCACAACACTGAGGAGAGAAGCCTTCTAGATTTTATCCATTTCAAGGAGAAACTGGAACTAATTAATGAATGACCTACCATCTAGCTTATTTTATTAAGACTTTCACTAACTCCCTCAATAATCTTCTCATGCTCTTGTCAATGTGTTCTCAGATCCTTTTCTATATGAAGTTCGCTCTTAGAAGCTGCCTACAGATTCTGTCCCTCAGCCTCTGCATCTCATGTCCAGCAGTGGAGAGGAAATTGGCAACCCAACTAATTCCTCCTCTCCTTCAGAGTTTTTTCAAACATCCCTCTTCGGGAGGGAAATACTCTAAGTGAAATAGTTTAACGTTCTAAGCAATGTTTATGTGTATATATATTTTATGTTTGACCTGACTCCATCTCCTAAAATCTTTCCCTTTTTGGATGTTTGGAAATGCCACAGCCATCTTCTTACTATAAGTGGAGCAACCAATATCCTGAAGATGGCAGAGCAGAGGAAAGAATTTTGATGAGCAGCCCATGGAATCCTCAAAATTCTATGACCTACTGTATTTACCAATTCTGGAATCACCCAACTTCAAGACTTCTTGATATATGACCTAAGAAATCTCCTTGTCATTAAAGAAAAAAATCCCTTCCCCAGCAGAGACCACTTTTTCTACAAACTTATAATGTTTCTTCTTTATCCTCAGCCTAAACGATACATTGTCACATTGAGATTAGCATTGCCAAACTCCACAGCCACTTCTTACCCCAAGCCAGGAGAGAAAGGAAGCATGCTGTGTGGTGGGGCTTGAAGTCCTCACTAGGTAGGCAGCTGCATGTCTGATCATGGCAAGAGCTTCCTCTTGCTTCATTTCCCTGGTCCTTACATCCATACATGCTAACTCCCTCCCCCCACAATTCACCTGCTTTAGAAGCTTTGTGTCAAATGAAGTTACTTTTCCATTCCATCTAGCAAAAGCCTGGGCTGAAGATAATTCACAGGGAACTGTCCAGGTTCTGTTTTATCTCTAGCTTGAGCCACCGGCCTCAAAGCTCACAACAGCTCAAGGAAAGAGAGTTATTTGGAGCAAAGACTATTACTTGCTACAGAAAGGTTGTCTAGGCTTTGGAAGCTACACACTGAACAATGACTGATCAGCTGCTTGCCTGGGAAGCAATGAGAAGAGAAAGGAAGGTGATAGCAACAAAGTGAAAGGAGGACAATGGGCTTAGAAGAGAGAGAGGATAGAAGAAAAAATATCAGCCTAGCATCATAAAGGCAGAGTTCTTGTCTTTCAATACTTTAGCATTTTAAAAGAATACTGTACTGGAACGGGTTAACGTCATCATCTTTAGCATCCTGGTAGCATTATTCAGTAGTTAATAAACAGACATAAAACCTCTCTGCCTGGCTGACTTTGAAAAAGAACCCGAGGGACCCCAAACTCAGCCACTTTTGTAGCTTCCACCCCCAATTGTTTTAATCCTGGCCAAGATGGCGGCCTTGGAGACTTTCTTCCGGTCATAGGCCAGACCGAGGGCAGCCATGCAATCAATGAAGAATGTGGTTACGTTGATGTGCCAGCGGTACTCACTGGCAGAGTAGTCATAGGGAAAGGAGTGGTGAGTTGTGGAAGCCTTCACCCACAGCTCCAAGCGAAACCAGGACGTTCTCCCGGGGGCTAATGTTCTTGTCGTAAGGACGATATCCGTAGAGGTGGGCAGCGCTGTTCACCAGACAGGTGGCATTAAGCACTACAGCATATCGCAAGAAAGTGGCAACGTACAAGCTGTGTTGAAAAGTTTCACCCCAGAAATAAAAGGGCGCAAGTGTGGGCAGGATGAAGCACATCAGCAGCATGCCAGGTTTGTAGTACCTCCTCTGGAACATCACCAGTTTCTCAGCTTTTAGGTCAGACAAGTCCAGTGTACCGCCCTTCTCTTTGACACCTGGGTGTTTGGGCACAAGCAGCCAGCCCATGTGAGAGAAGAAAAAGCCACGTCGGGAATTATGAGGATCAGCATCTGTTTCTGAAAACTTGTGGTGGGCACGGTGGGCACGGTGGTCACGAGCCCATTCAAAGACATCATTCTGGAATGCCATTGTATTGGCAATGATCAGAAAGACCCGCAGGGGCAGCCGAGCTTTGTAAGTTTGGTGGCTCCACAGGCGATGAACTCCTGCTGTTATGCCCATGACACTGACAAAATAACAGAATAACCCCCAAAGTCAGGTGTAGAACTTGTAGGTAGGAATCAAAATGATCCCATACAGGGAGCCCAAGTGTAGCAGAGATATCAGGATGATGTTTCTCCAGACATATTCAACCTCGGGCCTTGGGCCTTCCTTATCCTTGTAGGTGGGGTCATATATATCATCTTTTATATCAGGGCGAATGTCTTCTTCCAAATAGAGGGGTGTCTTCTCCAACTTATCTCCTCCATTCTGCGGGACCTTGGAGGGAGGCGCTGTGGTGGTGGTGGTGGTATAGGAGCTAGAGATCTCCTCCTGCAGCAAGTGGGCCCGCATCTTGGCTCTCGGATGCCGAGATCACTTTCCAGGGGCCGAGGCTGCGGAGCGGAGTTAGCGGGCGCTGGGGGACTTCGGTTTCGGAGCTCGCCGGTGCACGCTGGATGGGTGTCCGGCCCGAGCTGCAGCGCGTGGAGGTTCCGGAGCCGGGAATTTAAGGCTAGAGCTGGCAGTGGGTGACAGTATCCTGTATTGCCTCAGCCCCCGTTTTATCTGCTGCCAAGCAGGGGCAAGGTGCGCGGAGTTGACTGGCGCGGGCGGCCCCGCGTGGAGGTGGGCGGGATGGGGAGGAGACAGAGGCCGAGGCTCGCTAGCCGGGCGCCAGGATGCTGCCGACACCCACACCGCACCGCCAGGCCCCAGCCCCTGCCCCCCAGCAAATCTTATTAAAGGAGAAAGGACACATATTCTTCCTTACATTAAAATATTCAAAATTATGAGTATTCATGAAGTTAAATTACATTTAATTAAGTTATATAGATAAATCATTCACAACTATATATTTTTTAATAATTTTAAGTTAAAATAATATGCATATTTCATAATTGAAAAAGAAAAGTAAATACAAGGTCTTTGTAAAACATTCAAACAGTTTAGAAGGATATAAAGAGAAGAGAGTCTGTATCTGGCCAGGCATGGTGGCACATGCCTGTAATCTCGGCTACTCAAGAGGCTGAGGTAAAAAGATCACTTGAGCCCAGGAGTTTGAGACTGCAGTGAGCTATGATTGTGTCAGTGCACGACAAAGCAGGACCCTGTCTCCAAAAAAGAGTCTATATCTGCCCAACTCCTTACAGCCCTTCCTTTCATCCCCTCAGTGTGATCTCTCTATCTAGTAATAATCTCAGTTAACATTTTTTGGTTATTATTATAGAAATTATACATAATGTCCAGAATTTTTTCACAAATAAATTGATTCTTTTCACAGCTGCATACTATTCCATCATATGGATATAATTTAATCTGACCATTCCTTTATCAATATACATTTAACACATTTTCAATTTTTTTCCCCTATTTTCAACAATGCAATAGTGAACATCCAAACATATCTTTTGTACATGAGTTTATGTTGTAGCTGCTTCAAGCACTGGAGTCAGAGTCTTTATTATAGTTTAGATCTTTAAGGTATATGTGTTTAGATTTATAAGATATATTTCTAGAATGATAAGATTCATGCTTAAATGTGGCACCTAGACTGTAATTAAGATATGGATGTCAGAGAAGCTGCCATTTAAACTTGGCCTTTTATCTTCCTGCATGGGAGGATAAAGTGAGTCATTCTGAAGTAGATCTTCTTTGTTCTTAGTGTTTCTTAATAAAGATAGGGTAAGCAGGCATCTGTTGCTCTTGGGGAAATGTACAACAAAGCCTTTTAAAAAGGGCTTGATGAAGTCTGCTTTTTTTTTTAAATAGGTAGAGATGAAAGGTTGCTTAAGTGGAAGTAAATTTTCATGCAAACTCAGGTGGCTACTGGAAGAGGATGCTATATCTCTCATACATCTTTTGGACTTCTTCATAAATAGTATCTTTTGGATGGTTAGAGACAATGCTTAGGGGAGAGATGGATGAGTGTAGACCAAGGATTCTGGCTAATCACCCAATTCTAGGTAGTCTTCGGGAAAAGTGAGTTCTGGGTTAGCTTGTGGCTATGTCTGGTACTGGAATTGCCCCAGATCTCACACAAAGGCACAATGAGTGTGTTGGAAAGAATGACTGCATATGTTGGTTTAACCTGGAGAGCTATTACCTGGGAAGTGAGAGAGGAGGACACCACTGTGGCCTGCATAGGAATATGGACTGAAATGAGCAGTGGAAAAGAACATACCAACTGGGAAAGACCAGTATTCATAACGTTCCAACCACAATGGTAACTGAGAGTTAGGTCTGCTTGTGATAGATTGGATCCTTTGGATGGTTCTCCAGAAGGCATTTCAGAAATATGTTCAGCTGCTCTGGATGACATCCTGGGATTCTTGAATAAGTGGGCAGAAGGGAAATCCCTTGAATTATACCTCCAGCTTATCCAAAATATTGGGATTCTGGCTTGGTTTAGTTAAGTAAAATAAGAGATGCAACCAATTTGTATCTTGATTAAATAAATTGTACAGCTGGGCATGGTGGTGCACAACTGTAATCCCAGCATTTTGGGAGGCTGAGGTGGGCGGATCATGGGGTCAAGATATTGAGACCATCCTGGCCAACATGGTGAAACTGTGTCTCTACTAAAAATACAAAAATTAGCTGGATGTGCTTGTGTGTGCCTGTAGTCTCAGCTACTCTGGAGTCTGAGGCAGGAGAATCGCTTGAACCTGGGTGGCAGAGGTTGCATTGAGCCGAGATCACGCCATTGCACTCCAGCCTGGGCGACAGAGTAAGACTGTCTCAGAAAAAAAAATTATACTGGTTGTATCAGCATAATTGCGTGATGTTCAATGGCTATATTACTTCCCTTTAAACATTTTATGATTGCAGCCTTTTGGGAAGCAACATCTCTCTACTACTTCATAATGAGCTTTTGAAAGTTACCAAAAAAAAAAAAAAAGCCACTCTATTTCACTAACTGTTATTTCACTGAACTACTCACAGGAAGTCTCCCACCATTCCTCATTTGAGTAACTAGTTAAAAAACCAAAGCAAAACAAAAAACACTAAGCTCAGGAATTCTCAGTTATATGCATTAATCTTCATCCCCTTACTTGTCCCTATTTTTTATGGAAGACAATAAAATATTTGTCTTGTTGATATCACTACTAATTATATATATATATATTTGAGATGTAGTTTTGCTCTTGTCACCCAGGCTGGAGTGTAATGGCACGATCTTGGCTCACTGCAACCTCTGGCTCCCGGGTTTAAGTGATTCTTCTGGTTCAGCCTGAGTGGCTGAGATTATAGGTGTGCGCCACCATGCCCAGCTAATTTTCTTGTATTACTAGTAGAGGTGGGGTTTCACCATGTTGGCCAGGCTAGTCTCAAACTCCTGCCCTCAGGTGACCCACCCGCCTCAGTCTCCCAAAGTGCTGGGATTATAGTAAGCCACTGCGCCTGGCTTAATACTACTAATTCTTATACTTAAAATAATCATGGCACCTTAACCAACAGGGATTCAGGACTCTTACTTTTCAAATATTATGGGCAACTTTGAAGATTTGCTCATAGTGTCTCTCAGTCAAAAGTTGTTATAAGCAACCAGTCATGGCCCAAAGAGAACCCCAAATTTCAAATTGTGTATTTCCCTGTAGCACTGGTTTTCTCTAAGTACATTTTCTCTTTTATCACTAGAGGGCAATAATGCTCCACTATACAAGTCGGAAAACACCTCACGAACAGTAAAATCTAATATTTAGTAGGTTATTATGCTGTTGTAAACCTACTAGATAATTTATTTCCTTTCAAATTGTCACCAGACTATAAAATATTGCCTCTAGTATACTTCCCCTTTTTATACAAGTATATTTCTCCTGGTATATTTCCCCTTTTTACACAAAATATCTCTGGCATACTATTAGAATCAGTGTAGTCTGCTATAACTGGTCTCACATTTTCAATCATATAGGACTTAACGCTTTTCCATACAGCAAAATATTTCCAGATTCTGATGACTTCTCATCTCTTCTGCTGTTGTCATTCATGTTCAAGCCACTATCATCTGTCGTCTTAGTGGGGTCTACCCTGACAACTTGCATCAGTTAGGCTAGGTCAGGTTATGCTGCAGTAACAAACAAGACCAAAAATCTCACTAGCTCAATCAACATGTAGCTAACACCAAGTGTCTAATGCAGGTTGGCAGGGACTTTGGCTCATAATAGTTATTCAGGGATTCTGGCCAAGTGAAGCTTCCTATGGCATGCAGCAATGGGAGATGCATGTGGAGAATCACAGGCTCTTCTTAAAGCTTCTGTCCAGAAATCACACACATCATTTCTGCTCACATTCCATTGGCCACAGCAAGTCCTATGGTTGTACTTAACTTTAATATGATAGGGAAGAACAATCCTAGTATAAGCCCGGAGATTGTGAAAACTGTATGCATTGGTGAACAGCAGTAAGGAAACCAAACCACTCTAATGATAATTTCCACTTCCCCATTTCTGCCCTAGGACTTTGGATTTCCCTTATTCTGTTCTATTTTCTCCTATAATAACCCTTATCTTCTAACTTACTATATAATTTACTTTGTTATTAATTTTCCACCCCCTCTTTCTAGAATATAATTTCCACAAGGGCAGGGATTTTTGTCTATGTTGTTCTATATTATATCCACATTGTTCAGAACAATGCCTATCTCATCTTAGGTATTCAATACATAATGAGTGAATGAGTAACCAATTGATCATACATCAATTTTTTTCACCTTATACAATAACCCACCCTATATGGGTAGAATGATGACATGAATTAGAGAAATTGACACTGTGCTTATTCAAAACCGTGGTATTCAGGCAGGGGATGGTGGCTCACACCTGTAATCCCAACACTTTTGGAGGTTGAGGTTGGCAAATCACTTGAGGTCAGGCGTTCGAGACCAGCCTGGCCAACACGGTGAAACCCCACTGCTATTGGAAATACAAAAATTAGCCAGATGTGGTGGTGCATGCCTGTAATCCCAGCTACTCTGGAGGCTGAGGCAGGAGAATCACTTGAACCTGGAAGGTGGAGGTTGCAATGTGCCGAGATTGTACCACTGCACTCCAGCCTGGGCAACAGAGTGAGACTCTATCTCAATTAAAACAAACAAACCAAAAACGATGATATTTAGGAAAGTCTTTGCAAGTAGGATGTCTTACTGGAAGAATGAAGTCTTTTGAACCTGGGACCTCATAAAGCATCATGACAACAAGCAGATTGAGAATATTGTTTGCTGTATTGTTTTTACTGTTGGATTCATAAACATTATGGTAAACATAATGGTAAGTCAATTATTTTCTTTTCTTAATTAATTAATTAATTTTTTTTTCCAGAAAGGTCTTGCTCTGTCACCTAGGCTGAAGTGCAGTGGTGTGATCATAGCTTGCTGCAGCCTGAACTTTTGGGCTCAAGTGATCCTCCCACCTCAGCCTCTGGAGTAGCTGAGACTACAGGGTGTGCTACCATACCTGACTAATATATTTTTTTTTAATTTTTGGTGGAGAAAAATTTGGATTTCCCTTATTCTGTTCTATTTTTTCCTTATTAAAGGAAAAATAGACCAGCCCAAGTTGGTCTCAAACTCCTGGCCTCTAGTGATCCTCTCACCTCCGCCTCCTAAAGTGCTGAGATTACAGACGTGAACCACTGTG